AATTAGCTGGCTACCATAGAGTCTCGTGGCGTCCGATTTTGTCCGGACATGTTGAAAGCACCAGACTGAGCCGTACACCATCGTATGGATTAACTGCAGTAAACAATGTGACAGCGGGTGCCGGTAGTACAGTAACAATAGAACGCCCTTAAATAGTCACTTCCGCCTGCAAGGGTTTGCCAGCAGATCTTTGGATGTCAATGTTTTGTTGGGCATTGACACTTTTGCAGTATGCAGTAGAATGATAAATTGCGAAAGGACAAGTGGCATTTCGTTTCTAAAAACCAGAAGGCTTCCAGTTGCGTCTCTCCATTCCAACCCAAATATGCTTACCAGCTGTGGCGAAGAAGATTTCACTGACAGTGCATGGTCAAACACATCTACATTTATAATTCATGCGACTATTCCCACTGGGCATGATCGATGGGTAAAATGGCGAGAGTAGCAGTCAGCGAGCAAATGCATCATCTCCTTTTACTTGAAGAGGATAAAGCGAAAAGATTTCTGGCCAAGCCTCAACGAGGAACAAACCTTCCCTATAATCAGTAGCCATCAGGCAAGTACAGACATAATGCTGATATTTTGTGAATTCAACAATTATGTGACGTCGATTTGGCAAACATATGTTTTCAGCAACTCTTCATCAGGCCAAAACATTTGCAGGGATAATGGAAATTGTACAGTTGGACAAGGTTACTAAGTCTACTTTGATTACAACTCATCGTTTTCACGCGGCCCGCGTGGCGGGATCGGCGCGTAGAGGACCTGTGCTGGGGAAGGAGGGGGAGGGGAACAAATAACAGTGATTTTCACTCTATTTACCTGAGCTCTGGTCAATGCCCACAACATAACCCAATTTCCTCCCCTCCTCCTTCCACAGCACAAGGGCCTCCGCACACCGATCTCGCCACGCGGGCGGCGTGAAAACGATGAGTTATAATCAAAGTACATTTGTTCAACTGTACAATTTTTATTATCCCTGCAAATATACTGGCTTGATGAAGAGTTGCCGAAACATATGTTTGCCAAATCGACTTTTCAAATTAAACATGGGACTATTTGCAGAACTGATGTAACGGCTTTGCTCATATAATTTTCTTGGTCAGGGCCGTGTGTAAGAAACAAAATAAGCATATTTTGCTACTCCGTCTGTAAATAATGCGGTTTTCAACGGCGGAGGC